AAAACCCACCCCAGGCGCCTGTGCATGTGTGCCCAAGATCACGAGAGGAGAATGAAGGAGAAGGGATTGCGGCGTGGCCATTCCCCCCTCGGGGGTGATTTCTCACTTTCTGTCTCTCTGTCTCTCTCTGTCTGTCTGGCGAGCGCACGTGCCCTGTAGTGAAAAACCTCTCAAAAAAAAAAAAAGAAGAAGAAAAGAAAAATACTCATGCCGGGCGTGTGTGTGTGCGTGCCCAAGATCCCGAGAGGAGAATGGAGGAGAAGGGACTGTGGCGTGACCATCCCCCCTGGGGGGTGATTTCTCACTTTCTGTCTCTATGTCTCTCTCTGTCTGTCTGGCAAGTGCACACGCCCTATAGCAAAAACCTCTCCAAAAAGAATTTTTTATTTGATTTATTATTATTTTCGATTTTCTATAGGGCACATGCCCTCACCAGAGAGACACACAGAGAGGGAGAGTAAGAAAGCAAGCCACCATGTCTGGGACTCGAAACATGGTCCATATTGTGGGAGTCAAGCGCCTTAATCTTCACACCACCTGCTGTCCCCTATCTGCATTATTTTTACTGTTGTCATTTGTCTTTGTGTTTTTCTGTGTGTGAATATTTTTCACCTGGAATTGGTTGCATCCGTGCACGTAGAACCCATGGGTATCTCACCCACTATATGTAGCTCCTGCGTGCCTCAGTTTCCCCACCCTGAAGTGGATAATAATACACCTCCTTTGCCAGACATTGAAATATAAAAAAATATGTCTTAAAATGTGTTTGGTAGTCATGGCTGGCCCCAGAAGTTCTCATAAATGTCACGGAAAACTGGCGGTGGGAGAGAGGACTCTGGTGCTAGATCTTTCTGGACAGCCTACCCGGTGGTCAGCCTCCCACCCAGTACTCCCTGCCTTCCCTCACGTCTGGTAGTTTTTTATTTTTCGCCTGTGAGAAGAAAGGTTTTCGAACCCTTTCAGGTGACTTGCCCAGGACACAAATGTCCTCTGAGAACAGGCATGGAGTGGTTCTGTTCCAGGAGACTCGCACAGGCCGGATGGAGGGCCTCTGAGCTACCCTCTGAATTCAGGTTCTACTGATTGGGAACTTCAATCAGTGGCTCAGGACCAGACCAATGTTTAATCTTGCGTTATTATAAACAGGGTTGTAGGGGTGAGAGTTAAGGGCATTTGTTTTAGTCCTCTCTGGCTGGTAACATCAAATACCATGAACTGGGCACCTTATAAACAACAGAAATTTCTCACACTTCTGGAGGCTGGGAACTCCAAGACCAAGGTGCTGGCAGATCCGGTGTGTGGTGAGAACCTGCTTTCTCACAGATGTTGCTTTCTTACCGTGCCCTCACTTGATAGAACAGCAAGGAAGCTTAAAAGCTTAAGGACACCAAATCCATTTATGAGGGCTCCACCCTCGTGAGCTAATCACCTCCCAAAGGCCCCAGCTCCTAATACCATCACCTGGGGGTGAGGATTTCCACATGTGGATTTTGGGAACACAGACATTCAGGCCGTAGCAGCACCGGGAGAAGACATCTCCTGAGGCCTATCCAGAGTCTCAGTAGCCCCGGGTCCGTGTCTGAAAGTCAAGCTCCCAAGCAGGCATGAGCCAGACGCTGTTCTGAGTGCTACATGGTTAATTCGGGTCATCACAGGAACCCCGAGAGGTGGTCACTGTCATTATCCCCACATTGCAGGTGAGAAACCCAGGTTCCAAGAGGCCACCATGCTGGGTAGTGAGGGACCCACAGACCGCCTTGCTGGTTAGGATGCTGGGATTAAAGCCCAAGCCCATGCCTTGCCGCTTGCTGCCTGCTTCCTCCTCACTGTGCAGAGACACCGACACGGAGTCTAGCTGCTCAGTGTGGGCCCAGTCTCTGTTTCCAAAGGAACATTTGGCATACTCATACTACTACTACTAATTATCATAACAAGTTAATAAATTATTATTAAATTATGTCAGCACCATCGTCATTGAGCCTTTCCCAGCAGCCAGTCTGGTGCTAATCCCTTGAGCACATTATCCCATTTCACCTCCATAACAAAGCAGTTGGGTTGCTGGGGAAGTCATGATGCATTTTTTGCATAGGAAAATACATCGAGACTTTCCCAACGACCTAATAGAAGGCGGGTACTGTCATTAACCCTCCCCCTCCCTTTTTTTGAGAGATTCTTGCTATAGGGCGTGTGCACTCGCTAGAGAGACAGAGACAGATGGGAAGTCAGAAATCATCCCCTAGGGGGATGGCCACTCCACAATCCCTTATCCTCCATTCTCCTCCCGGGATCTTGGGCACACACGCACACACGCATGCACACAAACAAGCATGCGTGCGTGCCTGGAGTGAGTTTTAAGCTGCTGGGTCCGGGACTTGAACCACAGTCGACTATGTGGGAGTCCGGCGATATAACCATTATGCCATCTGCTAGTCCCCATTACACCCATTTTAAAGTCAAAGTAATTCTAAGGATCCCCATTTTCCAGATTATTTCTATTTTCACGTCCTTTTTTTTAGGGGGGAGGTGGTTTGCCATAGGGCATGTGCACTAGCCAGAGAGAGAGAGAGAGAGAGGGAAAGTGATAAATCATCCTCCAGGGGGAATGGCCATGCCATAATCCCTTCTCCTCCGTTCTTCTCCTGGGATTTTGGGCATGCATGTCCACATGTCTGGTGTGATTCTCAAGCCACCAGATCCAGAACACTCAACCCGCAACCACTTTGCCATCTACTGGTCCCACTTTTTTTTTCTTAAGAGATATTTTTGCCATAGGGCACATGCGCTCACTCGAGGGAGAGACAGAGAGACAGAAAGTGTGTAATCACCTCCCAGAGGGGATGGTCATGCCACAATCCCTTTTCATTCATTCTCCTCTCAGGATTTTGGGCATACAACACACACACATCTGGTGTGAGTTTCAAGCCACCAGCTCTGGGACTACTTTTGCCTTTGTTTTCTTTTTTTTTTTTGGAGAGGTTTTTGCTTTAGGGCGCATGCGCTCGCCAGACAGACAGAGCGAGACATAGAGACAGAAAGCGAGAAATCATCCCAGAGGAGATGGTCATGTCGCAGTCCCTTCTCCTCCATTTTCCTCTCGGGGTCTTGGGCATGCACGCACATGCGCCCAGCATGAGTTTTAAGCCACCAGGTCCGGGACAAGAACCGTGGTCGACTACCTGGGAGTCCAGCGACATAGACACTACGCTAACTGCTGGTTCCCTCCTTTGTTTTCTTTTTAAAGCTTATTCATTTATTATTTACATGAGTGACAGGACAGAGAGAGCACCCCAATAGGGTCTTGACACAAAAATCAGCTCCCAGCCCCAACCTGCCCCAGATCATGGGCGTACTGATGCCCGACATACTCAGGGATGTCTCTGGATGTAAAGGCAGAACCTTCCTGAGTCGGTCATACTCACACAACATCAGGTGTTACTTTTTCACCACCTTCAGACCCCTGTGCTTTCACTTTTTTTTTTTTTTTTGAGACTTTTTGCTATACGGTGTATTCACTCACTGGAGAGACAGAGAGACAGAAAGTGAGAAATCACCCACCAGGGGTAGGGGGATAGCCACACCACAAGGTCTTCTCCTCCATTCTCCTCTCAGGATTTTAGACATGCACACATGTGCCCAGCGTGAGTTTCAAGTTGCTAGGTCCAGGACTCAGACCTGTGGGAATCCAGCATCTCAACCACTCCACCACCTACTGGTCCCATGTTTTCACTTCTTAACATTCTCATTCTTGGGACCAGCAGTTAGCATAATGGCTATGTCGCTGGACTCTCATGTAGTCGACCGCGGTTCACGTCCTGGACCTGGTGGCTTAAAACTCACGCCGGGCGTGTGTGCATGTGTGCCCAAGATCCCGAGAGGAGAACGGAGGAGAAGGGACTGAGGCGTGGCCATCCCCTCTGAGGGGTGATTTCTCGCTTTCTGTCTCTCTGTCTCTCTCTGTCTGGCAAGCACACGCGCCCCATAGCAAAAACCTCTCCAAAAAAAAAAAAATTCTCATTCTTAATCATTTTACATTTCCTCATTAAGCCGGGCTCAAAAACATGAAATAATTGTCTTCAATACCATACCCAAGTCCTTCTGATTCAGTGATTACTAAGCTGCCTAAAAATCTAAACCATTTGTTCACACTACTTACAGTAAATACTCTTTGCTCTTCCTTACATCAGTTTCCCTAAGGATCTGTAGCAGGTACAACTTGGTTGTTGTAGATCTATTTGTTCTTAGGCAAAGTGAACCTGAAATTCCTTTTAAAATCATTTTGAAATATTCTCTGGTTCTGTGTTTTCACACATGTACGAAATCCTCATCCCCCTCTAGTAGTCTAGATTCTGAGGTTTTGCTGCACTGGGAGAATGTTAACTGACAAAACGTTAAGTAATGGCACTGAAATGTAAAGTAATTAATGCAAGAATAATAGTGCAGGGTAGGGATCTCAGTGTTTTAATGAGGGCTCAGGAAAGCATCTAACTGAAGATGTTGGAAGTGGAGGGGGGGAGATAAATGTTACTGTAATTAATGCTGGATATTAACAAGTGACCTCTTTGGCATGATCAATACAGGGACCTTGTAACCTTTCCTGTCACCTGGAACTTCACTTCTGGGATTCTGTGGTCCTGTTAATGAAAAAGATAATCACTAGTCTGCCCTTCTCTACTGTGGAACCTTTCCAATAGTTTGGTTTTTTTTGGAGGATGAAATTAGAAATCACCATTTTTAGAATATTTGTGTATATAAATTTTACTCTCAGATAGATTTATTCAATGCTTGCTCTGTAATGAGAGTTTTAACTTTCTGTTTTCCTTTCCATTATCCCTGAAAAGAATGGATTATGGAGAAAAGATTAAAGTAGTATAATGTGATATAGTGTTTGCTAATGTGCTATCGGAGGTATTAGGAGGACTCGCCAAGGTTCGTGTCTTTTATGAATGCCTTTCAGATCGCAATTATCTAATAGACTCGAAACCCTGTTTGTATTCTTGCAGGCATTAAACATCGTCTTTGAAAAAATTCCAGAAAACGAGAGTGCAGATGTCTGTCGGAACATTTCAGTCAATGTTCTTGATTGTGATACCATAGGCCAAGCCAAAGAAAAGATTTTCCAAGCATTCTTAAGCAAAAATGGCTCCCCTTACGGACTTCAGCTCAATGAGATTGGTCTTGGTAAGACAACGCAGGACTGACTTCGTCCGATCTCCTCATGAACTGTCCTCCCTCTTTCCTTCCCTGCCCTCAGCAGCTTCCGTTGGGTGATGCTTTTGTGGCCCAGGTTGCTCCTGGAGGGCATGTCTAAGGGTCCAGAGGCAGCATGGCTCTCTCATGATTCTTCTCAGGAAGCATAATCCTGCCAAGATGCCATCTTTAAAATATTATGTTTGTAAATCAGATTCATGAGACTGCTGACCCTGAGACCAAATGGAATCACCACGCATCTAGAAGTACAAAAAGGTGTAAACCCTGTGCCCTCCAGACGTGTTGCATTTCACATTGGCATTTGATTTGTTTGTTGTGATACCGAGCGTGTCATTAGTGGGTGGCTGAGACTCTGGGTGGTAACTGCAGTGTGCTGGAAAGGTCATCTTCCTCTCTGCTAATCGCAGCCTGCATTAAGTGCGTCCTCCATCCTCCCCAATGTGAGGCAGCATCTGCTATGAATTCATTTTCGGGCCGTATTGGTAGACTGCAGAAGAGACCATATGCGTGAGCAAGCTAACAGGGCTCCGCTTCACTCAAATGTTCATCAACACTTTAAAGTTGAGCTCCGTGCAGCCCTCCCAGGAGACTGCGGTGGGATTTTATAGCAGATAATGGGACAGGAAATAAGAGTAAAATCGCAGCAGTGACAGACAGCGTCACAAGGTTCATCTCCCCTCGGTGTGCAGTTGTAGGCCCCAACGAAGCAGGCAATTAAATCCTCCCACTCGGCCTTCCAAGTCAAACCTCCTGCTAAAAGGCCATTGAGAAAAGCCTGCAGGCAGGGTCTGGGAAATTGGAGTGAGACCGTGCAAATATGTAGTTGTGACAAGACCCAGCTTCAAAGACAGTGGGGCCCAGAGGTGCCTGGTCTCCACCTCGCTTCTGTTTCCTTTCATTGGCTGGGCTGCTGGGCAGCTTGAAGACCATTTTAGCTTAGTTCTCTAGACACAGAATCAAAGGGAAGCCCCAGCCAGGAAGCCATGCCTGACCCAGACCATCAGCTTCCTGACCCCAAGCGTACAGCCATGTACTTTGGGCATACTCATGTGGCTCTGCCTACAAAGAACATGGACAGACCCACCTGGCATCCACTGGGGAAATAGCCCAACAGCCTCAGTCCTGCCTCTGTAGGGTCTGTAGTAGCATCTTCCCCTTTACTGGGTTTGTGTCAATCCGGTATCCCTGGCCTCCAGAAGTAGGAAAGGTGGGAGCAGAATAAGCAGGGGGTGCCCACTGTGGTCTGAGGGCAGATGGCAACACACTGCCTATCAGAACCCTGGGTGGCATCTGCATGCCTCCTGATCTTCCAAAGTGCCTCCAAGGCTGGTCTCGGGAAAGTAAGGCAGAGCTCGAAGCCAGTCTTAAATTGTACTGGAATTAAGAAGCACTATACTCAGACCTCGTACAGCAGAGGCTCACAAACTCAGATGCCCAAAGTACATGAGTAAGGGGTGTCAGCTGCCTGGGACAATAGAAATGGTGGGGCCTGACCTAAATGGGGGAAAGACCCCTATCTTAGGGGGCAACACCACTTAGTTTCAGCTCATGGTTTTTATGGGAGCCGGCAGGGTCAGTGTTACCGAATCATCTACCTTTTTAAAAAGAAAGAAGACCGAATTTTTATGTGCAGTCTCCAGATCGGTAAATAGTGGTGCTGAGTTGACTATTAAATAATGTTAAAATAATAATTCATAAAATACATGTGTATGTTCAAAAGAAGAGGAGCACACATTATGGACCATCTTCTGACACAGGTTGGCAGTCTTCACCAGAGGCTTTGTGCCCTGAGGTACTGGCATGTCAGTGCACCTTGCGGTACTGACTAGAGATGGTTTGAATGGCACCTATTTGTGGATACGTCCACACACAGGTGTGAGTATACACACTTGCTTTGGGAATCTTTTCAAGAGCCTGGTCCCTCCGAGGATGCCTTATTTTGCCTTCAGTGGCTCAGCCTCAGTGTAAGATCTTCAGGGAGGACTGGCCTTAAACGTCTGAGCTCTCAGCGGAAAACCAAAACCAAAACCAAACAAAACTCAGCCTGGCTGTTATAGCTCCACACTGTCAAACAAAGATTTGCCACTTCATTCAAGATTCAAGTTTCAGGGGCCAGCAGGTGGCGTGGTGGTTAAGACACTGGATTCCATTATGGTCAACCTCGGTTCGAGTCCTAGATCTGGCAGCTTGAAACCCACACTGGGTATGTGTGTTTGTGTGCCCAGAATCCCAGGAGGAGAATGGAGGAGAAGGGATTGTGGCATGGCATCCTCCCCGGGAAGTGATTTGTCACTTTGTTTCTCACTGTCTTCCTTTGCCTGTCTGGCGAGCACACATATCCTATGACAAAAACAAACAAACAAACAAAAAAAACCAGAAGAACAAAACAAACAAACAAAACAAACAAACCAAGTTTTAGTTATTTATAAATATTTGTGCTGGCTGGCTCTGTAGCCTAGTGCCAGGCACATGCGTGTGTGTGCCCCAAAGCCAACAGCATGGAAAAACAGAGGGGAAGGGATTATGGCATGACCATGCCCCACAGGGAGCTGCCTCCCCCTCTCTCTCCTCTCTCACTCCATCTCTCTCTCTCCAGTGAGCACACACACCCTCTGGCTATATATATATATTTTTTTTAATTTGCTACAGGACACATGTACTTGCTGGAGAAAGACACAAAGACAGACAGAGAAAGTGACAAATCACCCCTCAGGGGAGATGACCACCCCATAGTTCTTTCTCCTCTATTCTCCCTCGGGATCTTGGGCATGCACACACCTGTGCCTGGCATGATTTTCAGGCTGCTGGGTCCTGGAGTTGAATAGTATAGTGGCCACGTGGAATTCAGCTACCGTAACCACTGTACTGACTGGTTGGCCCCTAGCAATTTAATGACAGTAATGATAATATCCATAAAGTAACAAGGTGGGAATTATCTCATTGTAATTTAAAACAAGAACAATATGTCCCATCCCATTTTTTCCAGAGCTTCAAGTGGGCACACGACAGAAAGAACTACTGGATATCGACAGCTCCTCTGTGATTCTTGAAGATGGAATAACCAAACTAAATACCATTGGCCACTATGAGGTAAGACCCAGATTTGGCCCTCCACCTCCTTCCTCATCCTAATCCTTATTGATGAGATCACCCCTGTGCCGTGTAAGTTCTTGTTTAAAAATCGCGGACTCCCACCAGTGCCTGGAATGCTTTGCAGATGGCTTGTTTCTGGGGCAGAAGTTCTCTGTGGCTGCTTGTTCAGAAGAACCCATGCATCGCTCTCTCATACCACCATCTTGCATCCCCTCTCAGAAGGCCTCAGTTTTTGAATTTCGTATTGCCTGAACACTCTCCATCCTGCAGTGTAGGTCAGAAGCTTGGCCTTCATGAAATTCTCCGGCCTTTCGGATTATGCTTCTCAGCAAAGCCATAGCAGCATTGCCTTGTGCCTTCTGCTGGGTGCCGAGCAGAGCCCTCCCCGGCCCAGCCTCACCTGCTCCACTGTGTTCACCATAGGCCTGTGACCTTTCGTATGAGTCCTTGTTCCTGAAGAAGTTCTAACTTCCCCATTTGCTCGTAATATTCAGCATTACCTCCTTTAACCCCCAGATCCACTTGCAGGGTGGATGCTGAGGTCAGTGAGGGGCACATGTGACTTCTCAGAAACTTGAGAGCCAGAGAACCCTGCACATCACGAGACAGAGGAGGTAGGGAGGGTTTCTGAACACACTGGGACATGGAGATCACTCAGTGGCGTTCTCTGAATTTCTGTGACAATCTCAGGATGCCTGGGAGAGGAACAAAGCCTGAGTCCCCGATTCCGAGAGCCTACAGCTCTAGCGAGGAAGAAACAAGTCAGGAAGCAGCACCTTTTGGTCTAATAGTACTGTAGGTTGGAGCAATCGAGAAGGCTTTCTGGAGGAAGCTATAACTATGCTAAGACAAAAGAATGAGGAGAACTAGCCAAGCTGGGACTGGCTGTCAGTGCACCCATCCAGCAGTGAATGGAGAGCTCGTGTGTTCTTCAGTAGAACGACTTTCAGATGGAATGGACTTGGGTGCAGCACGTGGCAGGAAGAGCCGGCCACAGCCAGCACTTCCGGAGCACCTGCTCCACGCCAGGGGCCGTCTTCAGCATTGCCCTTCTTCAGCTCATTCTATCCTGTAGCAGTCCTATGAGTCAGGGTTCATGAGCGCCCCTTTCATAGATGGGTACACTGAGGCTCAGGACGGCTTGGTGTCAGCTAGGCGGTGGGGGAGCCAGATAGTGGCTGTAGGGTCCGTGGCATGACCAGTAGGTGTGGCGGCCTTGCACCGAAGGTGGAGGGACTGAGGGGAGGGGAGGATACAGACCACACAGGGTTCGGTGAGCTTCTTCAGGAATTCGAATTGTACACAGAAGCACTGGGAAGTTGCTGCGTTTCAGAAATGGCTGTGACCGAGCATGAAGTGTGGGTATAAGGGACTGCAAACCTGCAGGTAGGGAGACGCATTAGGAGCTGCTGGAGAGTTTCAGGTGAGGAATGATGCTGTCTCGAAATAACACAGTGGTTCTGGGGTTGGGTTCAGAGGTGCTCAGGAGGTGGGCACTACAAACCCTGCGAAGGGGAAGACCCTGGGGTGAGGGATGGTGGGAGGATGCAGAGATGCAGGTGCCTTTTCAGAGGTGAGCGCTGACTTCCAGCACACTGGGAGAGGAGGCATCGCCCATCTCGGGGCTGTACAGTCTAGGTCTGCACCAGGAAGGGCTCTGGACTCTGCCAGGCTCTCCTCTTTCCCAGGAGGAAGCTGAGACCGTTTCTAGAGCAGAGCTGTCTGGACAACAGTCAGAAACAGAGAATACCCTGTCCTTGGACTCCGGGGTTGAGTGGGTCTCAGACTCAGTGGGGAGATAGTTGCTTTGGGTGACACCCACTTCACTGGAGGGGACCCCTACAGAAGAACCACTTACTCCTGTGCTCACTCTCCAACAGCTCTGACTTCCCAACCTGGGACTCATCTTCCCAAGAGAAGTCTCTCTTAGCTTTTAGAGTTGGTGGAAACCCCCCAGGGAGCTCCCTAGAAGTGTGCATTCCTGGGGGGCAGGCAGCACTTGGCGACCCCTGCTTTCCAGGAAATGCAATGGCAAGCCCAGATGGAGTTGGAGGTGCCGCCCTGCTGGGTGGAAATACCCCAAGAAAGGCCTCTCCTGGCATTGTGTTGAAGCCTGGAGTCACAGACCCGTGGGCCGTCTCCCCTCCACCTTGTGTCTGGGTGGCAAGCTTGTCTGGGCAAGCTCCAGCTCAGCCTATAGAAGGCCTGCCTTCTGGTGCTCCTGCTTAGGTGCTGGCCAAGCCCAGCTGTGACTCTGTCTTGCCCCAGCCTGGCTTCTGCACTAGGTAGGCCCCCTGGGGAGGAGGCGTGGCCACCCACCGCCATTTCTAGGGAAAGGCAGGACAGCAGGGAAAAGGAAGCACCACCGCAGCTGTCTGCAGGCTAAGGAGGAAGGCCTGTCAGGAGAGAGAGAGCATCACTCTTCACTGGAGACATCGTCCGTGCTAGACACCTATCTGCTTAAGGATGATAATGAAATTAATCCGGCCTGTAGTCACTTCCCGTCCGAATGATTTATTGGCCTCATAGCCTGGCGTTGCTGCGTAGTGGTAATAAATGACAAGACTAGGACACGAGGGCTTAAAGGATTCTCCTTATGTTTAAAAAGCTAAGCCGTAAGGCAAATAAATGCACAGAGCTTGAAGGGAACCAGGGAGGTCACCGGCCTGGTGCCTGGACTATCTCGAAAACCCTGTTTTTTTAAAGACTGCTGGGAAAACAGCACCCTCCAGCACCCTCGGCCACCTGAGTCTGGGCTTGATTTAGTCACGCCTCCACAGAAGGCGCAGATTTGGAATTCGGGGCCATGTGACGGGGCTGGGCTGAGGTTTGCTTTTGCCCTTTCGGTGAAGAAAAATGTTCTCCAGTACTTGCCTTTCCCCCCAAAGAGACAAGAGGCTAATTACCACTCTTATTCATTCACTGAAGCACCCTAGTTTGAGTCACTGGATGAGCCTGAAAGCCAAAAACTATATTTCATTTAAAAATAGGGTCTAATTCGAAGTTCTAAATGTTAAGACTCACCTCCCTCCAATTAGTCCAAATTAGTTGGGTTTCAAAGTTAATCCTTAGTGACGGCCAGTTCCTCCTACTATCTAAACAAAGTCCCTGCTGCTGGAGCGGGAGCCCGCTTCGTCTCGCCTTGTCTATCCTGAGGGCAGAGAGAGGATGGCTGGTTTCCTCTGAATGACTGACTGTCTAGCATTTGAAGAACTGGTTTCTCGAGGGGATCTGAGGGTACAGCAAAAATGGAGCGTGTCATGGACTACATACGATCCCCTAGAGCCCCAAATGATGAGCAGTACCCTGTCGGCTACTGGACGGCATGCTTACCAGTCCAAGCATCCGTGGTGATGACCACAGCCAGCACCTGGCAGCCTTCACGTGCATCCGCTCAGCTCACGTTCACAGCAGCCCACAGCCAGGTGCTCAGATGGGCGCCCATGCCCGTACAGCGGACGCAGAGGAGGGCGGATCTCTGTTCCACTCTCATTCTGTCTTTGCAGACAAGGGGTTAAGTGAGCCGATGTCTTTACAAACACATGAAGCCAGAGGCGTCTTTCTACCCTATAATTAAACCCTCCCCTAGCGCATGTCCCTCGCTGGCAGTCACTCCGGAGCAGACTGGAGGGGACTGCACTTGTGTTCTGGAGCCCACGAGATCAGCTCAGTAGCATGTATCTGTGCTGGAGGGAGGGGCACGCTGGCCCCCTGTGACTGGCGGGTTCTCACCTGTGTCCCAGGCTCCTTCCTTTCCATGGGCCCCTTCGTGGCCCTGCTGGGCGGCCTTAAGACAGCACCACATGTGGCATAGAGTGGCATCAGGTGTATAGGACAGGCCTGGGGGTGGGGAGCGTTCTCCTCAGAGAGCACCTCTCATTCTGCGCTGTGAGTTCAGAGAGGCCAACCAGATGCCGAACTAGAGTGTCGCTCAGAGATGTTGCCTGTGACAGACGTGCGCTAACGCAGAGGTGGCCACTGTTCACATCAAATCTGTCATCCAGAAACATCGGAGGCTCATAGGATTGTCCCAAAGGGTGTGCTGGGTACAGTTAGAAGTCCTCTGGTCAAGTGCGTCACCTGGACACTCAAAGAAAGGGATCAGACTGTCCCTAGAGGTCTCTTGCAGTGTGACTGTCTTTACTGTATAACGGGTGTAGTGCTTCTTGGGTACACACACGGTCCCGGGGCTTCCACCAACAGCCATGGCTCTGGGCCTCTCTCTAGCCCCCCCAGAGCTGGACACTCATTATTCCCATTCTGAGGTCCAGGGAGAAACTTAACCAAGCCACAGACTTCTCACTGACACCCCAAGGCTGGAAGCAGATGAAAGAGGAATTTCTCCAGAGACTTGGCTCTGTCCTTACTCAGAGTCCAGCTCTCAGCCCATGTTTTTGATCTCCAGAACAGCCAGCTGAGGGCTGGGCCTGATGTGTGAGAAATCCTGATAGTTATATTTTCTCTCTTTTTTTTTTGAGAGGTTTTCGCTATAGGGCGCATGCGCTCGCCAGATAGAGAGAGACATAGAGACAGAAAGCGAGAAATCACCCCCCCTCCCGAGGGGAATGGTCACACCCCAGTCCCTTCGCCATTCTCCTCTCGGGATCTTGGGCACGCACGCACACGTGCCCAGCATGAGTTTTAAGCCACCGGGTCCAGGCCGCAAACTGCGGTTGATTACGTGGGAATCCAGCGACATAGCTATTACGCTAACTGCTGGTTTCCTATATTCTCTCTCTTTTAAGTCAACTTATTTATTTCTTTCGTGAGCAACAGAGAGACACAGAGACAGAGAAAGACAGACACCCCCAACAGGGTCTTGACTCCACAGTCCAGCCTACCCTAAGTCCTGGGCATATATGCCTGGCCTGTTGAGGGTAGCCTCTGACCATGAACTCGGAACCCCCCCATGAGGTCTGGCTGCATGGAGCACTGCACTGCTGCCTCACTATGTGGCCCCAATAGTTGCATTCTCTGGTGTCAAATATAAAAGAGTG